ATGAATTTCTCTCTCTTCTTGTCATAAACCAAACAAAATGAATACCAGAATAATGTTTTAGACAATACTAACACTGAATATACGCTACTCTATCGCATCATGAGTTTAGTTTTGGTTTAGAAAAGACGAGTCTTTCAATTGTTTTATCCATTTTTAAACCAATGGTTTTCACGCATTTCATTATATAAAGAGAATAATACGAAAATCAAGTTTTAAAAAATTGTCTATTGTTTTGCAAAAATTACTATATTATACGACATTATTAGCAATTCACGTGTTCATAAAAATTTTGCTTTAAATATGATATAAATTAACAGCTCTTAAACTCAAACAAATGTTCTAATTGTTTGGAAATACATTTGATTTGTGAGAAAGTATAGCATTTAAACGCATTGTGTAATCCTTGAACAACAAATTTTACATCAATTTAAATACATTTCTATTTTATTATATTTTATATTTCGCTATATTTTATAGATTTTTTCGTATAAACCCTAAACTTGAAAGCGTTTTGCATAACATGTCTAATATGATTATCAAAACAGATTCGCTTAAAAATAAAAATTTCTATCAAAACGAATATTAAATTTAAATATATTTTAAAAGAAATCGGTAGAAAATGTCAATATTGAGAGCAAATATTTTAAAAAACATACACACAGTTTGTTGTTTCAGATATTGTAAAAATATTGGTCAAAAAATATATAGTGTATAAAATATGAATGAAATTCAAATGAGTTGTTATTGTATTTTCAGATACATAAAGATGTCGAGTCCTTATTTAAATAATATGATAATAATCGGATGCATACTTACGTATACGAGCGTAATATTACTCGGTTTAGATAGCGGTCTAACCAGTGAATCAAATTTCCCATATATATGTGCTGTAAGTACATCATAATCATATAAATATTTCATTTAAAACACTTTGATCGTTCGCTTAATAGCACCTTATTTTCAATTTTGAAATATTTTACTAATAAAATATTTGTGTTTAGGCACGGGCATGGGTTCTCATGTCTGGCTTCACACTCGCATTTGGAAGGTATGCCTAATATTTAATTTAAATAGTGTTAGGCACAATTTTTATTCATTATATAAAAATTGACGATTTCTCGTACAGTATGTTCAGTAAGACGTGGAGAGTTCACGCGATCTTCACAAACATTAAACTCAATAAAAAAGTTTGTTTCCAATTAAAAGCTTTTTTGCAACATTGCTGAAAAATTATATTTTTATATGATTTTCTATTTACTCGACAAATATGCAGCTCATTAAAGACTACAAATTATTTATGGTGGTCGCGGTACTGGTGTTCATTGATGTGGCCACTCTCACTACTTGGCAAATAGTCGACCCTTTTTACAGGGATACACAGAATGGCACGGCAGAGGTAAACCACTCCAATGACTCCAATAGCACTCGCATTACAGCCATCAATAAATAACTTATTGATATCTGTTTTGAATTTCAAAATTCTTAAATTTAAATTCAAGTCAAGATTCAATAGAAAGTGTAATATTTCATAAATAACAAGAATCTGTCCGTTCCTATAAAGAAATCCATTCCAAATATTTATTCAGTTTTGATATATATTTGTAGAATATTAATAAAAATAACTTATTTTATTTGCATTAGGATTAGTTAATACTTATACCGGAATTGCTTTATAGTATAAGATATGAATTGTGAATCATAATATAATACATTATTTATATTATGCATATAAGTTACTGTAGAGCACATAAATTATATTAATAATATTTGATGTATAAGTTGACTAAAATATATGATGGGTTTGTAGCCGTCACCACAAAACGAGGACATTTGGGTGATTCCCGAAATGGAGTATTGCCAGAGCAAGAGAATGACTATATTTTTGGGCTCAATATATGTATATAAAGGTCTTCTAATGGTTAGCAAATAATTCAAAAGAATTTTGACTTTTTTTGCAATTTCTTCAATGTGTTGATTGATTTGTGTGTTCAGGCATTTGGCATATTCCTGGCCTGGGAGACCAGACATGTTAGCATTCCAGCGCTTAATGACTCCAAATATATCGGAATGAGTGTCTATAATGTGGTGATCATGTGTGTGATCGGCGCCGGCCTATCATTCGTGTTGCGCGACCAACA